AAATCTAAAAAAACAACAACAAAAAAGATTTCGGTTATTGATTTTGTACCACATCACTATATATTTATTTGCTTAAGGGTGCAATATGAAGATTTTAATCTTATAGGGTGTTGTTTGTCCAAATCTTCTAGGATCGACGGGTGCTCTTCCTTTCGACGAAACCATTTAGGCGATTATGCTTATGGGGTTCAGTGCCTTGCTTTGTGGCTTTATTGGATGAAAAATAATTGGTAGACTTGATCAAGAGAGAAAGATAGGTATTATTCCATTGTATGTTTTCGGTGATTACGAAATTCGGCATAAAGAAGTGTACATTGGGATTTGCAGATTTTTGAGATTGTTTATGGTAGTAAGGTATGTCATATTTTACACTAATTGTAGGCACAATATAATAAATAAATAAATAAATAATTTAAATAATTATCCAAATTTAAAAGAAATGACATAAAAATATTCATACCATTTTTTTTTAAATGACATGAAATATATCGTTGACTATATCCTCCATATTAATGAAACTGTTATAAAAATATATAAAAACTCTTTAAAACAACGTCATTTATACAAATGCATTTGAAAAAAAAGAACAAATATTAGCATAATCCATCGAAATTTATAATCTTTAAGCAATAAATAAAATATTGCTCGTTTATAAGACTCACGAATTTATCACCTCTACTACTACTACTCATCCAATGTTACAATATAATTATAAACTCAACCATTATATTTCCAATCCACCCTATCCCCATGTAATAAATACCTCAAGTAAAAAAAAAAAAACAGAATACAATTTAATTTACAATCTTTAAGCGATAAGTAAAATCAACCAAATTTTGCTTATTTATAAAACTAATGAATTTATCACCACTATTATCATCCAACTCCAAATGACACAATATAATTATAAATTGAATCACCAAATGTTTAATTATCTATTGTGAGACCCTGGTGTCCCATATTGGTTAGGTTAGGAAGGGAAAAGTTGTTGGGCTTATTAGTAAGCCCCTCTCTTTACATGGTATAAGGTCTTTTCCTAAGGATATTGGGAGGAACGAAGTCGTGAGGGCCAGTAGGCCCAAAATGAACAATATTATGTTATGTGGAGGGTGGAGTGTTATGAGTTGGTATTAGAATCGACTCTCGCCTGATCGAGTATGGCCCCCTACCGTGCTCGCGTGTAGTGTAGTGGGCGGGCAGGTAGCTGGCAAGCTGCTGCACGGGGACGTGCAGCCCTAAGGGGGGTGGATTGTGAGATCCTGATGTTCCACATTGGTTAGAGAGGGAAAAGTTGCTAGTCTTATTAGTAAACCTCTCTCCTTAGATGGTATAAGGTCTTTTCCCAGGAATATTGGGAGGAACAAAGTCATGAGGGTCAGTGGGTCCAAAGCGAACAATATTATGTCATGTGGAGGGTGAGATGTTACATCTATATATACATATACATAGAAACACACTCACACACATTTCTTTTTTAACTACCAACAAATCATCATAATCAATAACTGTTTTTATTAGAAATACAATAATTCAAGTTTTTAAGATAAAATAATAATAAATTAATATTTAATTAAAAAATAGGATAAAAATCACGGATGAGTTTTGAAAATATTACATGGACACCTTATGACATTTTATAATTAATATGGAGACCTTCTGAGGTTTGAATTCGTTACACGGAGACCCCTTCTATCTTCCATCTGTCAATGTTGCTAACAAAAACTGATAATTTCATCCCAAAAAATTTATTAGTTTTAAAATTTCCCTTCTCCAAATTTAGTACAAAAAAAAACTAAAAATTTAATAAAAACAAATAAAAATTGATTTAGTATCCAAAAAATTGATATAATTTAGTATTCTAAAAAATTGATTAAATGAATTTCAATATTAATTTGGTAATAACAAAAATTAATTCGATAAATTTGAATATAAAGTGGAAAAAATTAATGTCAATTTTTTATAAAATTATATATTAATTTATAATCTAAGATTCATTTTGTGTTACATAACATGTAGTTTCATAATAATAGTATGAGAGAGCATGGGCGGAGGGAGGTAGGGGCAGGGTGGGCACGTGCCCCCCCTCAAATTTTTTTTTTTAATTATTTAGATATATGTATTATATATTTATACATATATATTATGTGTGCCCCCTCATTTATATTAAGCCCACATTATTTATCCAAAATAATTAAACAATTAAGTCTATTTAAAACAAAAAAAAATTGAACTCACTATTATCTATCCAAACTTACTAAAAAAAAATCAAATATTTGACCTATCATAATCCACTCAAACCTCTTAAAAAAAAACTTTTAGCCCAATATTAAAAATAAAATTTTTGGCCCAACATTAAAAACAAAATTTTTGGCTCACCATCATTAAAAAACAAAATTTTTGGCCCACTTGACTAAAACATATCTTTTTTTTTTGTTTTTATCTGTATCACTCACTTCCAGCTGCCCACTGCCCAGCCACAAAAAAAAGAGAAGAAACAGAGAAAAACTCAACACATGAGAAGCTCAGTTCTTTGAGTTTTTTTGTCCTTTATTGCACCAACCTATAAAATTATTTTATACATTATATTTACCCCCTAAATTTTTAAAAATTTTAATAATGGTTCTAGTCTTTTTTTTTTTTTTAATAAATTAGTGGACCACTAATCCTCTAAAATAAATATGTTAGTTTTGGATTGAGTCAATGTTTTATTTGTATATTGACGAAAATATAATATTTCTCTTTATCTAACACAATGTTCATTACTTTTTAAGAATAATTTTTAGTTTTCATTTACCATTTTTTTAGTAATAGTAGTCTATAACCTAATAAAATACGAAAATTAATTTATATTTAATTCATATACAAAAAATTTTATATTTTATTGAAATATATAATTAGGTTAAAATGTATTAAAAAATTATTTTGCGTCCTTTTTTTAAGATATTGTTTCGGCTAAATAAAAATTGAATTTACTATTTCACAATAATTTACTGTTGATTCTTTTTTTTTTATTCTTTAATTGAATTTTTTTGTATTAATTTTGGCCTAATATTTTTTTATATCAATTATATTTTGCCTCTATCATAGATATTCATGGCTCCGCTCCTTGCAATATACATTTTTTTAAAAATTTTTTTTATGTTAGATGGACTTCATATATCAAAAATAATATAATAAATATAAATATGTTATATAGTGTGATTGGTTAAAAGGAAAAAAATTAGAGTACATAATTAAAATATTCACTCTAAGCAAAATTTCTAGCTCCGCCCCTGTGAGAGAGAGACTATAAAATAGATAGATAGATAAAAAGAGTTATATGAAAGATAAGAGTCTTAGTGTTGTTTGTGAGTATGATTATGTGTATGACTGTTCCATATGGATTCATTTAAGTCCAGCCTCGGCATTTTGGCTTGTATTCTTGTTTGTTCCACAGAAATCACCGAGAAGTTTTGCAATGGCAAGTGGTGTCGAAATGGACAATCCTGCAGGCGATAAGACCTAGAGACTGTCGTATTCATTGTTGTATATAGTCTTTGCTTAAGGGCTAAAGTCTTCTTCAATTTCCTACCCTCACATCTAGGAAACCTACCAAGTCTTTCCTTAAACAAAATGAACTAAATTGTCACATCGACCAAATCGTCACTTTACCCTTATGAATTGACGACATCCATGAGTGAGACAATAATGTATTCTTATTTTCCCTATCTAAGAGGTTGGAGACAAAACCATAACAAGTGTCCAATGATTATGACAGTTAATGGAGGTAAATTTTACGAGATTAAATCAAATTGTTGAGTCCCTCTCTTTTTTAAATAAGTTAAAAAAATTATTCAAAGTTCGTTTAAAAAATAAATCGAACTCAACTCAAACATGAGTAATTCAACCATTTTAGGTATAAGCGATCCGAGCTTTGCGAGCTCAAGTTGAAGAAAAACAAGTGTAAAAAATGTTTAAGTTCAATTTATTTAGAATACGAGTCGAGCTGAATTCCAACATATCGGCTCAATTATCAGCTTTGTGGCCTTACCAATCATTATTTTGTATTTGAGTCACAGAACAGTCATGTCTCTTAGATTAATGCATATTCCTTTATGCTGGGTCATCGACTACCCATTGTTGCCGGCAAGTTAAACCAATCTTGTTTTAAAATCAATTTCAGGAAAATGTTTTTTCTTTCTTTGGCAACTTGAACCTTATTTAAAGCATTACCCATCAAGCCAGTTTTTGAGGACAAACATGTCTTTTTTCACCAAAACATCTATTCTCCGATTCTAGGGTAAAAAAATTGGATTAAGTTACATCATCTCCTATTCTACATTCTATTTTAAAGAGAATTTTTTTTTTTTTGAAACAGAAAGGATATTTGATAAAATTTTAAGTAGCAAGTGAAATATTTTAGACAACTTCAATATGCTCTCTATTCTAATAAAAAAATTAAAAGTGCAATTTTATTTCGGGTCACGTTTCTATATTTTTATTGAATTGAGGATGTAATATAATTACTCCAAAATATAAATTAAGAATACAAATATCTGTCATCCATCTTCAATCTTAATAACTAATGTTGGATTATAAAGTTTTTTGAATTGGTTTTAACTTAATTATATTAAAATCCTAATTTGATTTGATTGGATCGTAACTATTAATACATAACCACAAAAAGGCCAAACATTTCATATCAAATAAAATTAGATGTCCAAGGAAACTTGGTGTTTAAAATTTGAAACAGGAAAATACTATTTGGACCTAATTTAAAAACCTAATCTAGGGATTTAATGATGGACAACTATTAGATTGGTTGTGGACTCCGTCTAATATTAGAACTCACAACTAATTCAATGGTTATATTAAAACCACGTCATTAAGTTCTCAAACGAAATCCCTATAACATTGTTATGTGAAATAATATGCTTAGTAAATGACAAAAACTAGGGACTATAAATAGAGAGGTTAGGGGCGAAGGTATCCAAGGAAGGTAGCAAAAAGTTTTTCAAAAAATGTCTGACGCTCAGAATGATATTACTTGTGGATCAAAACTGCCACTCATTACAGTGGTGGCTAGAGTTGTGACTTTTGTTTCTGCTCTAGTATCAGCTGTGGTCATGAAGACTAACAACTCTACCACCGATAAATACTCGCTTCGCTATAAAGATGTACACTCTTATCGGTAAACATCTTTCTCTCATACACAAAATAAATATTCGTCTTATTTTAACTCTCGCCTAAACGAGGCTTGAATCTTGGAAAGCCATCCTAGAAACCTCAACAAGGCCCTTTCTTTTGTATCATGAATACCGAGTGAAGAGAGTCAATTTAGAGTATAAATTTATTGTTTATTAGTCGTTATTAGTTAGTTATTAAATGAGATTTTAGGGGAAAAAAATTCTTCACTTCATTTCATAGGAGCAATCTCTCTCTCTATTTATTTGTTGATCTTCTCATCGGCAGGTATGCTCTGTTTACTATGGTGGTGGGATTCGCCTATAGTTTATTGCTCACTCCCTTTGCAATATACTATCTGAGAAAAGGGAAACTCCTAATAAACCAATACGTCTTTCTCCAGTTTCAGCTCTTTGGTGACCAGGTTATGATCAGCCATCCTGCTATTTTTTTAACCCCCGCCCCACCACCTCCCTCTCTTCTCTATATATTATGTATGTGTTTGTGTGCATGCTATATATTTTGGACGAATGTGAGTAATTGTAGATGTTAGACCATTAACTTTTTCTTTCCACATACAGATTTTAAATGGATCCTACACTCACATCACCTGACATTTGTTTTTATTACACTGATATCTCCTTACATTTTAACAATTACACTGAGACCCCAATAATTAGAAGAAGTTAACTATCTTATAAAAAAACTATTTTGCCCCTCTTTAACACAAACACAAACTCAAACTCAAACTCAAACCCAAAACCCTAAGGCTTAAAGCCCTAACCCGAATCCTAATCTTCGTCGTCCTATGCACGACAAAGAACTAATCTGAAATCATCAGACTTCCCTCTGTTTCCCGCCCCCTCCTTGCAACACTCCATTGCACCCAACCCTCCCACCTCAGCCGCCACCACCACCATCAGTCCAAACCCACTACTCCCAACCCCCTTTCTCTCTCTCTCTTAGGCCCCCTCCCTACAACAAAACTCAGATCTGAAGACTCTAATATATATATTGCTCTCTCTAGATCTGTAAAACCCGCATGATTGGCAGTAGGTTTTGGATGATAGCGACTGTGGTGTTGATGGTGGGTTTTGTGTGGTGGAACTGGTGGGTTTTGGATGTTGGAACTAATGGTGTTGATGGTGGCTTTTCGAATGGTGGAGACGGTAGTATCTCTCTCTCAAGTGGTGGTTGAGAGGTTGGAGGGTGGTAGCGGTTTGTGGAAGTCTGTGATGGGTGGGTGATGGTGCAAGATGATGGACTTAATTCACGGTATCTTAATTTAGAGACATAATTAGGGAAAAAATTAGCTAATTAATTGCTTAATTAGTGGCGTCATACTTTGGAAATAATAGATTATATTTGATTTCAATATGTGTTAAGATAAGCTTAGTTAATACAAATCTATTATATTGAGTAACTTAATTATTTTTTAAATCATAATTATTATGAGAATTGGTGGGTTTGAATTATAAGTGTAAACTTTTTTGGATAGATAACTATTAGTATAATTAGGAAATTAAAATTTAAGTGTAAAATAAATGAGGGATAAATTTATAGTATAAGAAAAACATATATTGAAATTCTCAAATTTAATTTTAGAGGGTATTTTTGGTATTCAAAAAATTATTATTGATTACACCATCTTTAACTATTAACTGTTCTAACGTTTGTTAATTGGAGGGGATGTGACTATTACAAGTTATAAATGTTAAAAGAAGTCGGTGTTATTTTTAAAATGTGAAGAGTGTGTGTGTAATAAAATCAAATGTCATTGAGCGTGAGTGATATTTACCTTTTTTTATTATTATTTTATCTTTTCAATCAATGGTTAGAAATTACCTAAATCAAAATCTATGATTTTCATCAATTTCGGTACGATAACAATGTTAGTACTATAACCATATCCCATCAGAAAAAGTTAATAGGACAGAATGACATATCACTCCATATTGATTTGGTAAGAAAAATTTAATAAAAGCAGCAGTGTTTTATCCATTTTTAAAAGAACTAGCGATAGATTTCATGTGAACGGACATTAACTTGTAGTACACTAGTGTATAATACCGTACATTAGAACTAAAATGTGTACGTTTTAAAACTCTAAATTAAGCCATACTCTAAGGGCTGTTTGGTAAAAAGATATAGGACGTCTCACAAGATAAGTTTGAGATAAATAGTCTAAAAGACCCCAAAACTCCATGTTTGGATTACAAATTCAATATTTGGTTTTTAAACTCGGCTCATAGTTGGCTCAAATGTTAAACTCATAATCATGGATTTGGTCAAATTTAAGGAGGGAGTGAGTTTGAGAAAATGGGTTAAGGATGCAAAATATAATTGTACAATTAACATGAGTATGAATTGAATTGATCAAGGAGCAAAAATAGTCATTTATATGATAAATAATTATTAATAATTATGGTATATCTGTGGGACTAACATGTATATGTGTTGCATATCAAATATGAGTATAGATTATATTCAATGTTAAATCTCATGTTTGTAAAGTGGTGTTTGAGTTTGGAAGAGTTTGAAAAAGTCAATTCAAACTTTCCCAAAAATTTCATCCAAACAAAGCACTAAGGGTCTCTTTGTTTTGTGGGTTTGGGGGGGATTGGTATTCAAGGTTTGGAAAAAATAATCCAAGCGACCCCCCACTCTCCGTGCTTGGGCTAAAGTTTTAATTTTGGGTTACCAAATTTAGCCCGTAGCTAGTCCGGATACTAAATTCGTAATCATGGGTTTCGTCTAACCTAGGGATGTGGGTTTCGGGTTAACGGGTTAAAAATGTAAAAGACAATTGTATCTTTTAACATGTGTATGAATAGAATTGATTAAGGGGTAAAATAGTCATTTATAGGACAAATAATTGTTAATAATTGTAATATAACCGTGAGTCCTACATGTATATGTGTTGCATACCAAACATAAGTATAAAACTGAATTCAATGTTGAATCTCATTTTTGTAAAAAAGAGTTTAGGTTTGAAAGGATTTATGAAGGCAATCCAAACTTTTTCAAAAAATCTATCCAAACAAGCCCCAAGTTTCTGCAACTGATCACTCATGGGGACGGAATCAATGGGGGTCACTAGTATAACCATTATGCATAATAGTCTTGCGAGTCCCAAATCAATAGCATTGAAAATATGTTTTGCAAGGCTTTACATTGAAAGTTAATGTTGCAAACACGTTTTTTCTTTGATTGGCAAATAAAAGTGAGTTTGTGGAATTGCTTTCAAAGTGAGCACATGAAAAGAAATCCCACATCGACAACTAAAAACGAAGTTCACAACTCCAGTGTATCTTTTTTTCTGCTTACTGGGGTTTGCTTATATTGATAAAATGAAATAAAAATACATGTCAAATTTGATAAATTCAATGGAATGTATACGATCAGGTTAATTCAATTATATTAGCAACCGGGGTTGGCGCAACATTTGGAGCTACTTCGGATATTAGTAGGGCTTTTTCTGGAGAAAAGTTTGGCGATTTCTTCAGCATGGCCTATTTGTCTGCTGGTTTCCTTCTCATTGCAACATTAACCTCTGGAGTTTCTTCTGTCACTTCTTCATTGACCCTTTCTAAGAGAGGATAATGGAGAATAAACAAAAACATGTTATCCCTTAATTTTGGCCGTCAGGTTTGTACTTTTTATTTGTCTGAATTGTGAGGATGTAATATATTTTTGCAAAATGTAATCACGCTCCATAAAGTATGTGATAGTCCCAAACGTAATACAAGCAGTGACAAAATGTCGTTAGACTGTTGATTACGTGCACTCGGAGATAAAACAAATATGACGACGCGACAATTTGATCGGAAGTTTTTATGAGTATTTTTTTTTTAGATGATGTCTTCTATGAAAAAAAAAATGTATTTATAGACTTCCAATGGTTACCAATACAACCATTCAAATAGGAGACATAACATTTGACAAAGATTGTGTCTGTTGTCAATCCAAACCACCACCAACCTCCTGTAGCTGTTACTTATTGTAACGCCATCAACCGCTTCCTCTCCTACCTGTACATGGGAAAGCACCACCAATTAATGTCCATGAGTTCACCAACTTACAGCTCCCACTTGAACATACATGGACATGACTCGAGTTTTCCAAATTGGTGTTTGTCTTTGGTACCAAAACTTTTATTTTCACCAATTTTTTATCCGTGACCATTTACAGATTGACATCAGAACATGGCAATAGACTTAAGTGCGCACGCTTTTGTCGTCGAGTCTGGCCGCACCCTTCCACATATGTTATTTTTGTCGATAGCATACTCTAGGTGACTTCGATTCACTCTATAAATAAGTGATAGGTATCAAAGCTCCATACTAGGGATCATAAAGTCCACACCCTCAGTATCATTGACGACTTTAGCTACACACAAATTTAATCAATGTGTTGACCTGCGTCCAAAATTTCGATCAAGTACTACCTCTAAAGCCCATGTAGAGGCTTTCCTCAATATACCTTATCGATGACTTAATACACCATGCACCTTAGGGGACTATATAGAGGTCTCATGGTGCCTCAAACTGGACTTTACACTCATGAGCATGCGATAGCCTTGGAATGCATGTTGCTGTCCTCTATTTTTTATCTCACCAATTCATATCCCCAATCAGGTAGAGTCGCATCTTTCTATAAATTTTAGGCGTCCCCAAAATTTCTCTAAAGATGCCCTTCACTATGTAATAATGCAATACCTAAGTGCTTCTTAAACCCATTGCAGTTACATGCTCTCTGAATTTTTTCAGAGTCAATCCCTTGGTCATAGGGTTTGCCATCATCTCTCCCGAGAGTATATAGTCGACTTTTATTTCAATTCTTTCCACTATATCTTGAATATAGTAGTAATTTACATCAATGTGTTTTCCCTTAGAGCTATTAACTCCATTTTTTATTAAAGAGATAGCGAACTTATTGTCACAAAACACGTTGACTGACCTACTAGGTATACCCAACTTTAAACTATCAACAAAGCGTGTAATCCAAACAACATTACTTACCGTTGTACTGCACGCTATGTATTCGATCTCCATTGTGTACTTTGCAACACAACCTTGCTTCTTACTTAGCCAAGAAACAATCGTTCCACCAAATAAGAATATATGACCACTTGTAGATTTTTTGTCATCTACATCACCTGCAAAGTCTGTATCCGTATAGCCAATAATTTCTAGATTATTTAATCCAAAACACAATTTCATACCTGTCGTGCCTCTTAAGTATCTAAATATTCTCTTCACTGCCTGCCAATGTACCTTTCCTTGATTGGATTGATATCTACTTGCTAATCCCACTGCATGACAAATGTCAGGCCTTGTACTTTTCAAAGCACACATGAGAATACCCACACCTTGGGCGTAGAGGACCTTACTCATTTCAAATATTTTCTCATTTGAACTAGGGCACATACCTTTACTTAGACTTTGACCCATGCAGACATGAGTGCTCAACGGCTTATTATTATTCATACCGAATCTCTTGAGCACCTTTTTCAGATACTTTTCTTGATCCAAATATAAGAGTCTAGAATTACTATTTTTAGAGATTCTAATTCCCAGGACATAATTAGTCTCACCCATGTCCTTCATTTCAAATTTGGATCCCAGGTACGCTTTGGTTTCTTTGATCATATTTGAAAAATTTCCTACCAATAAAATATCATCTATATAGAGTGACAAAATTGTTAGTTTATCAAGCCATGTCCAAATATATACACAATGGTCTAAAACACTAACTTCAAATCCTATTTCAAGGATTACCTGGTGGAACTTTAAATACCATTGTCTAGAGGATTGTTTGAGTTCATATAGAGACCTTTTCAATTTATAGACTTTGTGTTCGTGTCTTTTAACTTGAAAACCATCAGGTTGAACCATATAGATGTTTTCTTTTAATTCTCCATTAAGGAAGGCCGTTTTTGCATCTAACTGATGTAACTCAAGATCCATCTTATCTACAACTAATATTAGTATCCTGATTGAAGTAAACTTAGCAACATGAGAATATCTACAAAGTCTATTCCAGGTTGTTGAGTAAATCTTTTAGCAACCAATCTTGCTTTATACTTATCTAGAGACCCATCTACTTTCAATATCTTTTTAAGGACCCATTTGCAACCAATGACTTTCCTCTCTTTGGGATGATCTACTAAATCCCATATATCCTTTTTGTTAATTGAATCAAGCTCTTCTTTCATAGCTTGAAGCCATTAATCTGCATTACTACTATTGACTGCCTTCATAAAGTCCTTAGGATCATCTTCTAATATTGTGTTTTCATCTAGATTAAAAACTAAATGATCCTTTAATTTTTGTGATGGTACCCTCTTCCTTTTGCTCCCACTTTTCTCAGCCTGTTCACCTTGGTCATCTATCATTTCCTAATTAATAATGTTATCAATAGGACTCGTAATATCATCATCTAACAATTAGACCTGATCAATGAGAGTTATTTGATTGGTAGACTCAATGAAAACAACATCCTTACTTTCAATCAACCCTTTATCCAAATGGAAGAATCTATATCTACTTCCATTCTCAACATATCCTATGAACTTACATTCCCACATCTTTGTTCCTAACTTATTCCTGAGAGGCTTCAGAATAAGTACATGTGTCTTACACCCCCAAACCTTAAAATTAGATATGCCAGGTTTTGTTCTAGTCCAATATTTTTAAGGAGTTTGTGGTTTAGCCTTCGTCTTGACTCTATTTAAAATATAAGTTGAAGTAGACAAGGCTTCTCCCCAAAAATGGACGGGGAGATCAGCATAAGCCATCATTGACCTTGTCATATCCACTAGAGTTCTATTACTTCTTTCTGCAATGCCATTTTGTTTAGGTGTGTATGACATGGTATATAAATGTCGTATGCCATTCTCTTTACAAAATTTAGCAAAAGCTTCATATCCACCACCCCCTATCATTATTCAAGGCTTTAATTGGTCTAGCCAACTATGTTTTTACTTCCTTTTTATATTCTTTGAATCTATCAAGTGCATCAGACTTATGTTTGACTAAGTAGATATGACCAAACCTTGAATAATCATCAGTAAATGTTACAAAATATTTCATTCCTCTCTGAGATTTTGTTCTTAAAGGTCCACATATGTCCGAATGGACAACCTCCAATAAATCCAAAGACTTCCAATGTTTGTTAAAAGATTTTCTAGTCATTTTTCCTTTAATGCTTGACTCACAAATATCAAAGTCTATTATATTCATTTGAGGTGTAAGGCCCAATCTACTCACTCTGAGCACCTTGTCCTTATTGATGTGACCTAATCTTAAATGCCATAGATAGGAATTATTTTCACTAGTTGAAATATTCATTTACTCAGAATAAGAAATTTAATGTGGATAAGGTACATATCATCAACCTTTGAACCCTTTACAATGACATCATCATCCTTTCGGATGTAAACAAATCTTTACTTGAACCGTACATCATAACCCTTTTTATCCAATATAGACATCGATATAAGGTTCCTTCTAACATTGGGTGCATACAACATATTCTTAAGAATCAAGACTGATATTTCACACTTCACTTTGCAAGTTCCTTCTCCTAGGACATCACAATATGTATTGTTTCCCATGTAAATGTGATGCACACCTGGTGCCTTTTCATTGATTTCTGAGAAGCTCCCTTTGTCCCTTGCAATGTGTCTAGTTGTACCAGAGTTGATCCACCATTGTTCTTTTGAATCTTCAAGTAGCATCACCTCAGAAATAGTCATAACTGCCTCGTTTTATTTGCCTTTTTGCTTGTTCATTCACTTTGCTTTGAAATGCCCTTTTTGTCTACAAGAGAAACATGCCCCTTTGCTTTTTTTTTGTTGAACTTTCTGAATTTGAACCGTTGCTTTCCATTTTTCTTCCAATTTCTTTGTTTCTTGTGTTGCACTTCCGGTTTTGATCCAGATGCCTCGGCGATCAACAATTTTCCACTATCAGTCTCTTTTCTCTTTCTATTCTTTCGTTCCTCCTCAAGTGCCAATAATGTTGGTAATGTGATCATAGTTAAGTCTTTTCCTCCATAGGTCAAAGAAGTAACCACATGATTCCATGAATCTGGTAGGCTATTAAGAATAATGGTCACTTGCATCTTATCAGTAAGTGGAAGTCCAGCAGTTGATAAATCCATTGCAAGTAATTCCATTTGAAGTACATAATCCACCACTTTATTGCAATTGTACATGCGTATAAGATACAGGACCATACTTGGTCTCGAGTGCATCCATAATTTCCTTCGCAGTTTTAAAATCTTCGTAAAAGGGAATTAAATCATATTGCATGCTAAAAATAATTAAGGCTCAGGGTAGATCATTATCTTCCTCCCACCAACTTATTTGTTTAGCTATTGTGGGATCTATAACATTTTTTTGGGGCTTGGTTGTATTGACTGTGTAATATGTTTTCTCATGTGTGAGTACGTAAGTGATTTTACGCTTTCAAATACGATAACTTATACCATTCAATTTTTCTACCTTAAAAATATCCACACCTCTTTTACTTGCCTTGAGAAAATTTAATAATACTACCAAGTGTTATAACTGTGAGGAGTGTTTAATGCAACACTGT